CTTATGCAAACACTACGGAATGCTAAATGCTGTGCCTATTCATCTCTCGCATAATAAATAAATAAATGATTTTAATTAATATGTAGATAAACTTGGAAAGGTGCTACCGGATGTAAACGGCAACCTTGCAATTCCGCGACTGATGAATATCGAAGTACAACTTTCATAAAAAAGGTAAAATAATTCTCCGATAATTATCGATCTAAAACTTCGATAGTTAGGCAATCGGAGGATTTAAGGTTGGAACCATATCTAACAGACACGGATATTGTCAAATAATTGTCGAAGTATTAGAATGATACAATGGGCAACATTGTTTGATAATTATCTGATAACATTATACAAGATCCCTTCTTCATGGACTTTCGAGCATCATGATGGCCGGACTACACTACAGTTGGATTTCCAGTATTAACCCACAGGACATTCTGGTTATATCAAGGTAGTAAAAGGTCACGCACGGCTAGTCAGATTAAGTTTGACACAAGTATACTGTGTGTCGGAACATAAGGGTGTCGGAACATAGTGGTGTCGGAACATAGGGCAGTCCCCCCTTCTCAGACACCCCCCTGTTCGCGCAAGCGAGGACATTGGCCGCTTACGCGGACACAAAAGTGTCCCCCTCATATTTCAGAATGGATCGACGCCCCTGATCACGCTCCGAAACCACAAAAATCACTAATACTTGTTTCCGGCCGATCAGCTTGCACTATATATAAAACAAGGGAGGAAACAAAATATGCACACATTTTTCTAGCTGCCAAAAATCATACCTCAAAATACAAAATACCTTGTCCAAACCAGTTACGAATGCTTATAAGACATTGAACTATCGCAAAATGTTGTCCGATTACATATAAATCATATATTTTTCCAGATTTTACGCATTTATGACGAAATTTGCCATTTTCTATTTTCTGTGATACCAGCCTTGATTGTGTCAATCTGCGCATGCGTTTGCGCCCTCAAACTCAGACTGCATTTCCTTTCTTTGCTGCCAGAGTTTGAAATTCTCAACTACCGG